TTGGCAAGTAGGCTAAGCGCTTTGAAAAGAAGACGTTCTTTTTATCCACTTGAAGTATAGGGGAGTGTGGGGACGGTTGCAACATTGGGAAGTTCCTCCATTCAGGAATGAGCTAGAGTGATGACATTTATAGGCTACTACATATTTTCAGTTACACCCTCCTTCAATCTGAGAGAAATCAGCCATATGTCACCATTTCTTCAGTATAAAACTCATTTTAGGTAAAGAATTTGTATTAAAAAAAAAAAAAAAAGGGACGGTTTCATTAAACTAAACATGCAAAGGCAACCCTGAAAAAAAATCTAATAAACAGAGAGAGAGAGAGAGAACAAAAATTTTTGCTTTCTCTGGATTAACAATTTATTTGTAGCCTATATTTATTATGTGTTTATTTGTTTTTAATAGTCCTATTTTGCTTTTTAAGCGAAGTAAAACCTGATTGTGTGAGCCAGAGCTGGGTATTTTGACATGTCATCACCTTAGAATTATAAGGTTCTATCTGACATTTTGTCAAAATTTGTAGATGTCTGTAAAACTAGATACACAGTTTAATTTTTATCATACACCGACTCGCACATGGTAGATAAACAGTAAAATAAAAAATCTCATGGTCATGCATTAATAAGTGCAGGAAAGCAAACCTGTCACCGTTTAACATCACAAATGTCACTGAGAACCACTCAATATCCCTCAAAACACTGAAAACATAATAACAAGTTTGATTAATCACTTAGATGTAATTGCATTAAATACATAAATTTGCTTCACTTACCTAACATAACTAAAAAAATTACCCCCCCCCCCCCCCCCCCACACCCGATCGTCAATGTATAATTGGCACCCTGATAAGTGTTATCAGACCTTTAAAGAATGAAGCAAATAAATAACTCTCTCAAGCACACATCTAATAAATCTAGTATACGTTCAGGGAAACTGAGCAAATCAAGTCACATTTTCTTTCTAAAGCTGTAGGAGTTTGACTTAAATTGTCTGTCATTTCTCACTATATCCACATCCTTCACTTCGTATGTCCATTCATATCTGACAGGTAGTAATTTATGTGTCAAGTTAACCTCTGTAAGCCACACTTACTGTATTCAGTCAGACGACAACTTCCAGCCTCCGCGTTGAGTAACATGATTACATGTTAGTGAAGGAGAGGGGTGTTGCTCTCAGTTTGACCTCATTAACCTTATTTGGGTTCGACTCCTAGATGAGTGATGCAACATGGAGAAAAGATAGAGACTGTCTGAATCATGATATCACGCCATGTTGTTTTATTTAGAAGATATTAAATGACCTTTAATCAATGGGAATTCACAAACTTTTATTATTAGGAAAAACAATAAATAATTAGAAATGAATTGCAGCTTATTGCTTATGCTTACATTCAGCATAAATAACACAAAAGAGACTTAAAATGATCCAATGCCTGAATTTGGTGAATTCTTCTTAAATTACGCTGTTAACAATTTCCTGTAGAATCTACAGTAACTTACTGGCAGCATTTTTTAACAGCAACTTACTGTAAATAAATAACAGCCCAAATACTGTATACTACAGCAAATAATACCCTGACGTCTAGTTGATCAATTGGTATGAGAAGTGGCTAAGGCAAAGGCTCAATAATGTTCATGTATGGTGACTGGGCTGGTCAATCCTGTATCACCTTGACCTTTCCTTTCAGGGACTTTAATGTGGAGGCTGAATGAGTGATATATCCTGCTGAAGAACTTGCCCTCTTCTGTGGTTTGTAATGTAATGGGCACCACAAATGTCTTGATACCTCAGGCTGTTGATGTTGCCATCCACTCTGCACATCTCTCGCAAGCCCTCATACTGAATGTAAAGCCAAACCATGATTTTTTCTTCACCAAACTTGATTGATTTCTGTCAGAATCTTGGGTCCATGCAGGTTCCAAAAGGTCTTCTGCAGTATTTGTGATAATTGGGATGCAGTTCAACAGATGACTCATATGAAAAATCAACCTATTGCCACTTTCCAAATGATCAACTAGAAGTCAGATTATTATTTGTTGCTCTTGGATCGACGACAAGACCTTTGTCAGGTAATGTATTTACATTTATAGCACCATTTATCTTACTGTATTGATGTATTGCCAGTAATGTGTTTCTTTACTGTAAACTATAGTCATTTTCACAATGCATCTTTAAAATACAGTAACATACTGCATAACTGTCCTACAGTAATATACAGTTCACATTATGGTTAAATGCTGTGTAATTTACAAAAATCATTAACAGTGTAGAATTTAAAAGTAAATTTTAGTTAACATGTAAATATGTGAGGTGCCCTTACAAATTGTTATATAACACTTTACATTTAGAACAGAACAGCTCTTTTATAATTTTCTGAACATTGTATAAATGTGAATCAAATGTGATATAATAAAAGAGCTTCTTTCATTTCTATAAAAATGATCTTAATAACGTATTAAGGTTTGTTTTTAAAGTTCAAACATTGCCAATAAAAATGCATTCAATACATGAAAAAATACATATAGCCCTTTTAAATTCCTTTAATGCTGCATATCACAGAGAAATACTTGCCTTAAAACATCTATTGGGGTGTGTAGTATTGACAGATTCCACTCAGTTTATATTCCCAGCAAAACAACACACACTCCCAGCTCATTCACATTACCATTTTCTAAATGTACAACAAGGTACTTACATCCATTCCTCCTCAGACTAAGCTACATTATCCTAAAGCATCATTGAACATGCTTGGCTACACAGAATGACCTATACATTTACATTAGTAGGAGGCTGCTATGGGCTTTTTCAATTTTTCAGTTGCATGATTATATCCTTGTCTGGACACAGTGTCTGTGAGAGTACAGTATTATGGTGGGTGTTGTTAGACAAAGTGATTATTAACCTGTGTAAATGTTCCATCCTTCCATTGCTAATAATACGATATGACTAAACAGAAACTCTGAAGGTTTTATTAAATCCTACATGGTAATACATTGCTGGAAAAATGCTCACTTTTGCTTTCTCTAAATGTCAATGTTACATTATAAAAATTACCAGTGTGAAAAAAATGATTAACCCGATTTTGAAGAAATTAAAAATGTTTTTTTTTTTTTTTCTATAGTTTCAAGGTTTAAATGAGATTTCGGTTCAGATATTGAACATTTAAATTGACATTTATTCATTAAATTGATTATTTTTCATAAAAGCGACTTACAAATAAGCATAAAAGAGCACTTGATTTTATCAGAGAGAAGCATTTATGTCATTTATACACGTCTAAGCTAGGCATGGGGCGATAACCAGTTTCAAGGTTTACCATGGTTTGAAAAAGTCAAGATATAAAAAAATCTTAAATTCTCTGTTGCAATGTTCCTAAGGTATATGTTAGTTTTATCTTTTATGTTTTTTTACAACCTTATTTTTCTCTCTCGATTTTTAGGGGAACAGTATGACCACATCTAAAGCTACTGGTCAGCCTACGATTCAGCAAACAACTGAAAAACAAACTAATTATAAACCAACACCCAAGCATGCTAAAGAGTTAAACAGTGCAGAGGCTTACTGTATATCCAAAGAAAAGAGAGATATCCAAAGATGCCTTTTCAATTTGTAAAAAAAATCTGTAGTTTTGAAACGAATGAAGATAGCAGAAGTCAATGATTTATTTTCATTATTTAGCCTGACGTTTACTGTTCCAAAATATTAAAAATGTTTCCTGAAGTATAATATATTGCTATATTGGGGGAGAAGTAGCTATTTTTCCCCAGACATTTAAAATAAACATATTTAATCACAATACTGTGAAACCGGAATATTTTTATCCAAGATGATCATCACACACACATACACTACGCCCAATTTAGTTCATCCAATTCATCTATAGCGCATGTCTTTGGACTGTGGAGGAAACCAGAACATCCAGATGAAACCCACGCAAACACAGGGAGAACATGCAACTCCTCACAGAAATGCCAACTGGCCTAGCTGGGGCTCAAACCAGCAACCTTCTTGCTGTGAGATAACAGAGCTTACCACAGAGCCACCGTGTGGCCCAGAGATTGATATATATATATATATATATATATATATATATATATATATATATATATATATATATATATATATATATATATATATATATGTTGAAGCTGAGCGACAAACTTAAAACTCATTTTTGGCTTGGAAGCGTTCTCAGATATGGCAAGTTTGATAGAATTAATTATGACAGATCTAAACTAAGCCACAGTCAATCTGAACAAAAGTGAGAAACATGGTAGCGTATGAGGACAAAATCTATTTTGAAAGATTGGATATGTTACCAACTAGAGCAACATGGAGTCAAGTGAGATAAACATGACTGGGAGTTTTACTCAAATAGTTTGGAGCTGCGAATACGTTTTTCAGAGGCAGGATCTTCATCCCAAGACATTATCAACCATCCAAAACATAATTAACAAATCTGCACAGAGGTGATCTAAAGATACTTCACCCAAAAATAACATCTGTCATCAGTTACCCCTTCATTGGTTTAAAACCCTATTTTAGTTTCTTTGTTCTGCGGAGAAGTTATTTTAAAGAAAGCTGGTTGATGGTATCCATTGACTTCCATAGTTTTTTTTACTATGGAAGCTGGGTACCATCAAACATGCTTTTCAATAATATCCCATTACTTATTCAACAACAAAAAGAAACTCAAAATATTTTAAAACACATGATGGAGAGTAAATTCTGAGGTAATTAACTTCCATTTTGGGGTGAACTGTACGTCAGACACAATGGGTCTACTACATCAAAATGTTGTTATCTAATCTTAAAAAAATGGCGATTGAGACGTTCTATCATTGAGTTTTTAAGAAAGAAAGTCAGTGATGCGAGTTTGAAATAGCATGAGAGCGAGTAAATGAAGACTGAAGTACTTTAACTTTTATTGTGAAAGAACGGCGGTTGTATTATTGAGGACTTTTATTTTGTTATCCGGCAGAGCCACAGGTTCCTTTAGTAGGTCAGATTAGCAGATAGCTCCCGGAACAATGTCAGACTGAAACTAAACTCAGCCGATGAGCTGTTTTGCTTATTATATATTTAATTTTATGTTGTTTTGGTCTTCAAACGGCACTACAGGACGTAAAATGGAGATCTGTGCTTTATCATGAAACTCCGTGCGCAGTTTGACAGGTATCTGTTCATTAATAAACACATTAACTCAATAAACCCTTTCAGAGCCTTTCATAAAAACACCACTAATCTTAGATATAGCTTTAGAGATGACAGTCTGTATCTTCTTTGATTTAATGTTGTTATGGCTAACAAATATTTGCTCCCTAACGTTACCCCCGTTCAGTCCGTTCATATACGTTATAGGCATTTATAGAACGTATGTAAACAAATGTTTACTTCGATTTTTACATTTGCAGCACTGATGTTTTCGACTGTAACGTTACGGTGCTTTGATTTCCATTTTTGGTGAGCCATACAAAGTTGGGGTGATCACAATTTTACAGCGGAGGTATTAACTTACATACGATACCACGATTTTAGCAATATAAAAATGCTAATAACAATAACAGTGTAGCTAATCGTTATGGTTCATTCGCAGAAATTCAACTGACGCTGAGCTATGTTTTCGCAGATGGATAGATAGACACAGACACATATTTAAAAATCGAAGCCATTGATATTATTTAAATGATTTTAAAGCTGAGTATTTTATGTATGATTTTGTTCGGAATATGAGACAGGTGCTCAGAAGAGTGCAAATAAAAATATGATGCTTGATAATGCATAATGATTTTTAAACAGTCATATTAAAATAAAACAACTTACGTTTTATCCTAGGTTTGCCTGTAAGGCTGTAACGTTACATTCATTCTATTTGAGCCAACAAAAGTGATTGCAAACGCCAAGGACTGGTATTTGTCACTGAAGCGAAGCGACAACGAATTACCGTCCACACCCAACCGGATGATCTCGATACCGTTTTTGCGTCCGAGGGATGCCCTCTTCCAATGCACCATACTTGTTTTTTGTTTCTTGCATGCTTGTTTTAATCTGTTAATGGCCGAATTTACTGATTTATTAGCAGAGTTAAAAATAACAAAGATGAAAAAAACGAAGATTGTGCAATCACTCTTCTATAAACTATTGTATTTATGAATAGGAAATACCAGTTTACAGTATTGAACATCATGACGGAGTGTTTTGTAAATTACTAACTTAAAACAAATAGCAAAATTATGTTAAGTTACGTTGTAAAGTGGATAAAAACACCTTTATTTATAATGCATTGACTTTTCCCCCACAGAGGAACATATAGCGAGTCCAAAGGATCGTTTAAACTGAGGGATTCACTTGATCCGATGCAACCGGAGCCGAGCTCTCGGGAAGGGAACGGGCTGTCGTTAACCCTCCAGCCGGAGCTCCTCGCCCGAATGCCCGGAGCTGGGAGCTCCAGCGGGACGGAAACAGGCGAGGACGTCCGGGTGCCTATGGGCAGCTCTTCGGGATCGACGAATGGACGTGGCGCGACCTCACGGAGAATGAGAACAGCGAGTCACAGCCACTCCCACACCCATGGACACGGGCACAGCCACGAGCACGAGTCCGACAGCGGAGAGTCTGACCTGGAATCCGGAGAATCCAGCAGCTCGATATCGGAGCTTCGCTACCTCCTGCGCTGGCTTAAGAAAAGTCTGCCTTTTATAGTTATTCTCTGCGCAAAACTAGTGATTCAACATGCTCTGGGTATGTGTTGGTGGAAAAATTTTTTTGCTCTGCTGGAGCACTGGTTATGATAATGTGTAAAGTTCATGACCCCTGTCACAGTTTCAATGTGTGTTGTTGTTGTCTTCAGGTCTGGCTGTTGCTGTTGGTCTGTTTACCACGTTTATGTATGTCAACAAAAGCATTCAAACGCAAGTGTTTCTCCATGTAAGTTCTCAATATTTTGGACAATGTATCAGTGCTTGCCAATCCTCTCCTATGGTTATAGGTAGGCCCACCTGGAATCTGCGCACACAGAATTATGCAGATTTTTAGCCATCATTAATTCTGTTTACTTACTTGAGTAAATGTGTGTAAAATCTATATTTGTTCAGTTTGTTTTAATTAATTTCAGTAATATTATTGGCTAATGTGAAATTGTTCCTCTGATTTATGTACAATGCAGTTTGTTCAGTATTATTTTCTGTCTTTTACTAGATATATTATATGACAAACTTGCTTTATTTACTAAATAATGTGGATCTAATTGGATTTGCATTTTAAACATTAAATAAAAGTTAAAAAGATACTATTTTTAATTTCACATATTAAGGTTTTAGTTATGATACTCTCAAAATAATTCTGCAGAAATTCGCAGACTTTTACCAAAATTATTTGCAGAAATAGCAAAACACAGTCCGCAGATTCCATCTGGCCCTTGTTATAAAGGTTAATCTGTGGTGATGATCTGTTATGATTATGCCTCTGAGCAAAACAGTTAATATTGGTTTGTTTAAAGGTCTTTTTACACTAAAGAGCATTATTAAAACAACTCTGTTCATCCACATGCTTTGCTACACAAATGAGCAGTTTTACAATGCAAATATCTGATTTTATGCAAAATGCAACCCGTAAAATAATGCAAAGTTATGTATGTGTCTGTAGTTGTCAAATATAATATATCATGCAATATTACAGAGACACTGCAAAGCTTCCTTAAAATAGTCTGAAAGCTGTTTTTTTGTGTGTTAAGGACCGTAGGACGAATCTGCATTGTGCCTGGCTTCTGCTGTTCCTCACATCCTCCAGTCTCCTTGTCTTCTACACTTTTCACACTCAGTCACTTTATCGCTGGTAAGTACTTTACATTTTATTACTGAACCTCACCTCTCACTGTCCTACACTTAATATAACATGAACAAAGGGACAATTTCCACTTGGTGATAACATGCATTTTCAGTGATCCATTCAGAAGTAGGTGACTACGACACAGTTAAGCTAGGCCAGTATAAGATTCCGACGGCATGATAACCTTGGGTAAAAATACGGTATTGTGATTACTGCTCTAAAATATATTCTTTTTAAATGTCTGGGTAAAAAACTAAAACTTTTCCCTTTTTAACACAATAGATTTTATTTTAAGAAACATTTAACGTATCTTGGAGCAGTAAACATGTCCGACTAAATAATTCAAATGAATGATTGACTTCTGCTTCAATTAGATTCAAAAACACAGATTTCTTTACAATTTAAAACAGCATCTTTGGATATCTTTTCTGCAGTAGATGCTGTTTTCATCAAAAAAAATCTTACACATACCTTAAAAACGGTATTAAAGAAACTTTTGGCGGAATTAAAACCTTGACTTTTCCAAACCGCCGTATACCTTGAAAACGGTTATTGTCCCATGCCTAGACACAGTACTATTTACTGCTTAGATATTAGCGTGCTAGTCTCTTATCGGTGTTCAGATTTCTCTGAGATTCATTTCTTATTTTGTCACATTATATTTACCAGTTTTCATTGGGGCCTAAATTACAAAAATGCATCAAGTACCACTGCACAGTTCAAAACAAGGTAGATTAATTACTATTATTAAGAATATGTATTATTGTCAGCCACTTTAAACATTATGCATAGTTTAAACATTAACTGCGCTTGCAGACAAAAAAACAAAAAAAAAACGTGCACCGACCACTGGTTCAAACAGACTGGGATACAGTTCATGGTTCGTACCTGACGGAGACTAACTTTAACTATATTCTACCTTTTAAGTTTTAAGCATGGCAAAGTTGCTTGAGTCTATGTTCTGAGTCTTGCGCCATTTGAATCAATTAGCCTAAATCTGAGGTAACAAACTAAACCGAAAGCCACTGCTTCATAAAACAAATAACTATATGTGTAAAACACGCATTATTTTACACAACTACGAGCACAGATTTAACATATGCAGCATGGTGAAATTCCTGAGTTTGCAGTAACTGAAATGCTAACACAACAGGACTAGTGAGTGAAAGGGCTTCTCTGGTGTGTATCTGCTCCGCAAACGCTGCGCGCTTCTTCCACTGCCTCTGCGCCAAGCAGATTGATTTGTAACATCTGATAACGCGATGCACTGAAGTAAACATTCTACGACACCGGTGTAATCATACGCTTCAGGGAATAGCCAATGCTGTTTGATCACATGAGTCTCAGTGTTATCGTACGCATCAAAGGGTTAAAGGTGTGTTCATTTTATTCTTATATTATTTAGTGATTCTTCCGTGTACCACTAGAAGAAAGCCTGCATACGACTAGTGCAGTTTGAGAACCACTGATCTAGACCATATGTAAACTAGGCCTAAACAATGGATCCAAACTAGATGTCAATCATAAACATATCTGTGCTGTGACATCAAAAATGATGTCAGGTGTAAACATGGCCTAAATACTAAAAACACCTATTTATCAGATGTAAACGGGGCCAAAATGACAAAAAAACACACCTATAGCATGTGTAAATGGGACAAAAAAAACATCTAATTCAGGTGTAAACACTGCCTAAATAACTGAGATTCTACTCAAGTCAAATCCACACCATGTAGATCTCACTGACCTTATTTTTTCCTCCACCTCAGCCTGTTTTTTGCCAACGCCACCATAGATTATCATAACTTCTGGGAGGTTTTATGGAGCGTTGGTGTGACCAACTTCATCCTGAAGTTTATCTTCATGGGATTCAAGTGTCTTATTCTCCTCGTCCCGTGTCCACTCATGACATACAGACGAAGGGTGAGTGAGAATCAGAGCATTATTTGATTTGCTCTTCTGAATCTAAATGAATGTGTGCTTCACCGTATCTGTCTTGTTTTCCACTAAGGGTCAGTGGTACATGCTGATAGAGGAAGTGGGTCAGTTGTATCAGGTTATCGCTCCTGTCCCGCTCTGGTTCCGCTATCTGGTCAGCTATGATGAGATGGACACCTCTGTCGGTCTGACTCTGGGAATCTTGCTTGCCTTGCTCTACCTCATAATGAAGGTGAGTACAGTTGTTATAACAGGATACATTTAAAATTAACTAACGATGCACTGATTTGAAGAGTTTTTTAACCATTTATTGGAATAAGAACCATATATGGTAACTTCCTTGACATTTTAATGCATTTTTGTCAGTAAAGCTGGTTCTAGTAAACCTCTAGCATGTGCTTTCAGATGGAGTACACAGAGCTCCAATTCACTACTATGCTAGACAAACTATGCTAAATTAAAATCAGCGTTCAGAAAAAAAACAAATCACCAGCTAAGGAACTCGACACAGAGAAACATAAACACCTACTCCCAGCTAGCGTTTCTGGAGTAGTATTGCAGAGCAACAGAAACAGCGCGCAGAAGTATAAATGCACAGTTACGCGCAAGGCAGGCACCATGGGTCACACTGATAACTTAAACAGAAGTATAAACCAGGCTTTAGCTTCAGTGTTCAAGCTCGGAAATTTAAACTAGTGCACAGTTGGCATAACTTCGTTTAGTTGCAGCAGTTTTGTTCCTTGCAGAAACGCGGTATTAAGAAGGCTTTATAATTAATTAACCATGACAAATGGAAGCGCGGTTAATAGTGAAATTGGTTAACCGTTGCATCCCTAGTCATGCTGAATCAATAAAAGCATTAAATCTTCTGTTTATACTGCAACGCTAGTAGAATCTTTTTGGTGTATTTTGAGCTTTTGGCATTCACACAACCGTGCTTCCCTAACAAGATGTGCATAACAGTAGTAGATTTAATTTCTATTAATCGGGCAGCTCTAATACTGACCATCATTTGTTTTATACTTCCAAAATCCTAAATGCTCTTTTAGAAAACTGCATTATTCCGGCTGTTTTATAAATGCCACCTACTGGCAGAGTCTGCAGTTAGATTCCACCTGTCTGCTGTTTTGGTTTTATACAGGTATGTTTTATGTAGCGTAATTTCATCAATGTTAAGTCAAATCATTAGGTTTTTACTTCATATTTTAAAATGACACCATTTAATTAAACAATACCATAAATATTACATTTGCTTAAAAAAAATCTTCAACCAGATTTGAAATGAATACATTATTTGAAGACATTCATCAGTGTGATCTTGTGTTTAATTTTTAGCTATTGGCACTGTACGGACTGTCAGGATCACTTCAGAAAACACTACGGACGTTTTTCAGCCCTGAGGTACATAAGATGTTTTTTTTTTTACCTGTCTTCTGCTGCTCTCCTTTTTTAGAGGTGTAATCTGTAAGGAAACAGTTGAATTATACTCAGGTGTCTTGTTTTTCTTGCGTTGTTTGATCTTTTGCTCACCTGTTTGTGAAGGTAAACGGAGCTCCAGCCAGTCCTGCTCAGATTCGAGAGGCAGGAGACATTTGTCCCATCTGTCAGGCGGATTTTAAGCAGCCTCGGGTCCTCGTGTGTCAGGTGAGAATCAGACGTTTATTGTGTATAACGTTTGTTACAATGCTAGGCCTTGCTCACATGAGAACAAACAAATATACTCACCGGCCTCTTTATTAGGTACACCTTACTAGTACTGGGTTGGATCCACTTTTGCCTTCAGACCCGTCCTAACCCTTGTGCATAGATTCAACAGGGTACTGGAAATGATAGCATTACTCATTTGGTGCAGATTTGTCTGGTGGTTGTTAATTATGTAAATCTCCCATTCCACCACATCCCAAAGGTGCTCTATTGGATTGAGACCTGGTGACTGTGGAGGCCATTTGAGTACAGTGAACTCATTGCCATGTTCAAGAAACCAGTCTGAGATAATTCACGCTTTTTGAACATATCGCGTTATCCTGCTGGATGTAGCCATCAGAAGATGAGTACACTGTGGTCATAAAGGGATGGACATAGTCACCAACAATACTCAGTTAGGCTGTGGCGTTGACACAATGCTCATTTGGTACTAATGAGCCCAAAGTGTGCCAAGAAAATATCCCCCACACCATTACAACCACCACCAGCCTGAACCATAGATACAAAGCAGGATGGATCCATGCTTTCATGTTGTTGATGCCTAATTCTGACCCGACCATCTGAATGTCGCAGCAGAAATCGAGACTCATCAGACCAGGCAACGTTTTTACAATCTTCTATTGTACAATTTTGGTGCGCCTGTGCGAATTGTAGCCTCAGTTTCCTGTTCTTAACTGACAGGAGTTGTGCCTGGTGTGGTCTTCTGCTGCTGTAGCTTATCTGCCTCAAGGTTCAATGTGTTGTGTGTTCAGAGATGTTCTTCTGCAGACCTCGGTTGTAAGGAGTGGTTATTTGAGTTACTGTTGTCTTTCTATCAGCTCAAACCAGTCTGGCCATTCTCCTCTGACCTCTGGCATGAACAGGCATTTGTGCCCACAGAACTGCCGCTCACTAGATATTTTCTCTTTTTCAGGTCATTCTCTGTAAACCCTAGAGATGGTTGTGCGTGAAAACCCCAGTAGATCAGCAATTTCTGAAATACATAGACCAGCCCGTCTGGCACCAACAACCATGCCCTGTTCAAAGTCCCTTAAATCACCTTTCTTCCCCTTTCTGAACCATGTCTACATGCCTAAATGCATTAAGTTGCTGCCATGTGATTGGCTGATTAGAAATTTGCGTTAACAAGCAGTTGGACAAGTGTACCTAATAAAGTGGCCAGAGAGTGTATGTTGCTACTCCAACTTTGTTCATAAACACAATGAGCACTGCAGACATAGCAAACCCTGATAGTAAAACGAATCTCTCCCTTAAACTAAATCTTAAAAAAAAAAAAAAAAAAAAACAAGTAAAAACAAAGTTTGTTAAATTTATATGCTGAAATTCTAACTACATGATTATTATATTAAAGTATTTTGGTCAAATTATCAACACATCTTGGTGGTAATTGTACAGTATCTAGCACCCCTTTTTAATTTATATCTTAACTTAATCAACGTATATTGTTTTGGATCAACTTGTATTCTAGTATAATCTCTGTAGCATGCACAGAAATGTAGAGTGTTTTACCCCATGTTTATCTGCAGCACATCTTCTGTGAGGAGTGTATAGCCCAGTGGCTCAACCAGGAGCGCACCTGTCCTCTCTGCCGCACCGTCATCACAGACAAGGTGCACAAGTGGAAAGACGGCGCAACATCTGCTCATTTACAAATCTACTAAACACAGACAGGAGAAGCACAACAGACAACCAGCAGATCTACACAACTGTTCCTCTCACACATCTCCACTGAGCAAACAGCACTTGTTAGAAGACAGCAGTCAACACTTTTCTTTAGCTTGTCTGAGGGATGAGTGCATTCACCAGCTCTTGTATTACTATTATTATACATACAGAACTCCTCATTGTTTAAATGTTTATAATTTATATTTATCTTTGTGTTCTTACTAATTTCCTCATTTACCGTGGGGACAAAAACAGTAGATTTCTCATTATTTTATTTGTTAGGAAAACTTACAAATAGAGTACAGGAAATGTATTTTTGTCTCCTAAAATTGATTTTAATTTTCACAGATAGTGGGGCTGTTTTGTAACTAAACTCGAACACATTTACGAGTCCTATCATGAGGAGTTTTGAACAATTTAGGTTATTTTTTGGTGAAGTATTCAGTTTTCTTCGGTTTTAATCTGAATGTGAGGTAATTGCACATGAACTACTGATTTATCAAAAGGTGTAGCATTAGGATTTTATAACCATGCGAATTTTGTGAGTGAACATCAAGTAATGGCTTTGTGAATGTTACGTTTTTAAAATTCAAGCCTTTCACAGATACATGGTATTTTTCTAATCATGTTGCGCTTGCGTTGTAATAAACCAAAGTGTTAAAGAAACATCTATTTTAGTACCATCATACAGTATGCAGTTACATCTGGACTTTTTATCCAGCATATTTCCATAAACGACCAAATAAACTTTTCAGATTTGACTAATAACAAGCTGCTTCACTGAAATACTTTCCCAGCAAATCCAACAGTGACTTGATAAATACTCTCAAACTTTATTGTGTAAAATTCACCAGGGATTGAGTTCAAATGATTTTCAAAACAAACATTAGCAATCACAGAACACCAGATTACTCATTACACACAATCTCTTCATTCAATACTTCAAACCAGGGGTGTCCATACTCAGTTCTGGAGGGCCGATGTCCTGCTGATTTTAGTTCCGACCCCAATTAAACACACCCGAACCAGCTAATCAAGCTCTTTCTAGGTATACTAGAAACTTCCACCAAGTGTGTTAAAAGAAGTTGGACACTCTGCAGGACACTGGCCCACCAGGACTGAAATTGGACACCCCTGCTTTAAACCATTAAGCTTGTTTTAAGCCCAAAAGTTACACTGTCTGACAGCATTTCTAATAATCATTTTTACCAGCAGGTTAGTGCAGATTTATCGCCAACACCTAATGATTTTCAAGACCAGATTCAGTTCGGCACTTTCTGAAGCTCAATTACACACTACATTACATTTTTATAGGACCATATTGAGATGAAGATAAAAAACCTAAACCATTAACACTTAGCACCAAGTTTACGTCTTAATATTCCAATGTGACTGCAACAGTCAGCAGCAGACCATTTAAGAGGTTTTAAACCCAGTCTTCCGGTAAAAATAACGACAGACTGTCAAATAAAGTGATACACGAAGCCATTTAGGACACATTACGAACCTCTTTCGTCCAGCCAGCATTATGTCGTTTTAGCAAACGGTCAATAACAGCGTACAAAAATGCAAAAAGCAATGCTTCCATGGTCAAAGTACCGATAATGAGGCGATTTAATTAAGCTGCTGGTCAAAGGCCTTCATATGACGCCATTACAGAGTGTTAATCACCACAGCATTGCAGGCTGTTGTTTATCAGTAGGCACTGTATTTGACAGCTTAAGATGTTCGAAATCTTGCTTTCTGTGCATAGTGAGTTCGGCAATTATTGGCTTGATGGAGACTGCTGCAAAGTCTATACAATTCAGTCAGAGCAATGGCCTCCTAATGTCCGACCACAAATACAATCAACATGACGGAAATGATAATCGGGGATGTGAAGTTAACATCACTTTCAATCAGTGAGTAACAATGTCACAACAGAACACCGTTTTAATGGAGAAAACCATCCTTTTTATGCTTCCTTTGGAAAAAGGGGATGCTAAATGCAGTTTTACTGATGGGGATGTTAAGTTATAAATATAACAGCAGTTTGACCAACACAGGAATGCCTGTGATAAAGTATAAACGACGGCTTTTGTCTGAAGAAAGCTTTCTTGCATGTAAAAGAATCCAGATTCAGCGCCAACTGGTTTAAAGTCTCACATCATCACACTTTTTTTTGTATCTATTGTAATTATATCACAAGAAAAGAGCACCAACAATCATGAATAATGTATATGATATATACAGCAATCAAATACTGATGTAGTTTTTTTTGTTTTGTTTTATTATGCTTAAACATTCTGGATTTCCCCTCCACCACAGATTTCCACACTTCTATAACCCAGTAGATATTTGTTTTCCTTATATAGTGTATGTACATCCTGAAATATATTAAAAATCACAATATTTTTAAAGTCCTTGAGAAAAATAAAACTATATTTTTTGGACTCCCAACGCCACCATAGAAAGAAGCTCAGTATAATACAAATTAAAGGAGGGTGTTTTGTTTTTGCGTTCGAATCCAGCAAAATCCTGAACAACATTCTTGACTGTGGTGATTAAATAATTTGCATAGTTTACAAAAACAAATGGCACATGAAGAGAAAAATAAAATCAAAACACACAATTTAAGGAGAAAAAAATGAATAAATTATGAATTACTTGTTACAGAAAGGATTTTAGATCTGATACCTTACTGTATTTAATACTAAGGGTGACGCTGAAAAGTGAATATACACTTTGTTTCACCCATATTTTCCACAAAAGTGTAACAGCATATTAATATCTGGATGTGGCTGGGAGGTATTTATACACTTGATGTTTATTTTTCTTGTGTTCTCTGCTATTTTTAGGTATTCTTTGGTCAGAATGATGCATTCTGGAAACTAAAGTACATGTCAGACAGCTGATTTGGAAAAAATAATGCTAAAAAAACAGTGATTTGACTGTTGCAGGTAAATGCAAGGTAGATTCAGACTCAAATGTATGAATTTTAAATGTAATCAAGAACAGAAGTGTTTTGAAATCATTCAACACAGAAAAGAGCAAAATACTAAAGAAAAACAGCTTATATCATAGTTGGTAGCTTCGGCTAACACCACTCGGGAATTAAATCACATCACAAATCAAATTCCGCTTTAATATATAAAGAATCTTCTCTTATCCCTTTTGAGGGATAATTCATGCAAATAATAATATTAGCAATAATAAATGGCTGTTGATTTCTTCTCCTTCAGGCCATCTAAGCCCTTTTTCTCTTCAGTATGACATTAAAGGTGATGTTTCGCTGAAACTGAGGTCATAAAATGCAAGCTAGGGATTATCTACACTTTGAGAGTCAGAAAAACACGTGCAGGCAATACCTGTGACTCCTGATGATGCACTGAAGCCATATAAAAGTGAAACAATTGGTCTGTGCAAGAAATTAAAGGTAAGAATGTAGTAAATAATGTCCAGTTTCTCGCTCATATTCTCTTCAGAAGTCTTCACTGTATCATGGGAGTCTGTGAGTGTTTATTTAATTTTGCCTGTAAATGTTTTCTCAACTCTCAAAGTGCTGACAGTCGTTGACATTGTCATTTAATCAACAACCAATGAACAGTTTCAGCTAAAAATTTTCCTTAATATTCTACTGAAGAAAAAAAAAAAGACGTCTTGTGGAAAAGTAAATTAAAAGCCAAATTTTTCATCGACTCTGTAATAAAAAAAAATTCCTATTGCAAAAAAAAAAAATCACAATTACAAAGCAGCCCAATCTCAGAGCAAACGTCAAATATAGATCAGAAGATATTATGATTTTCTCGCTTTTTTTTAAGCATGAGCATAAATTATAAAGAATAAACCGTTAATATCATGCTCGGGGGTCACCTGACGAGCAAAACTGGTCTCTGTGTTTTTCGTAGCAAGCAGCATTTGGATCAACAAAACCCTGAACAAGCTCTGCATGCTTGTGTGAGGTGGCAAGTATTTACGAGATTGAAACAGGGTGCAGAAAGGCATTCTGGGCAATCAAACTAATTCCTAAAGTGCAAAACTCAAAAGTCGTTCATCAAAGCTTCATCTTCAAATGCTTGGGTCTTCTGCCGCCCACTGGATGAGGTTGTTTCATGAAGGATCCTGTGTTGGAACCCAGTGGTTTTTTGATAGGGAGCGGGGCCGAGGCCTCCATGTTGCTGCTCATGTCCATCTGCTCCACATTAGACGCCTGCTTTAGTGCACCAGTGGGCGGCAGGAGAGAGGAGGAGGTGGTCACTTCTGGGAAAAGTGGACCTCGAGACCAACCGTCTTCAACTTCAGCCTTCAACGGGCTGGAAAAAGCAAGTATGGCGTTATGGATCTTTGTTTGTGCACTTGACCTGATGAGCATGTTGTAGCATGCAAAAGCTTAGACTTGGTCCTCATTTTTGGTCAACATTGTAAAAGTGATCAACTAAATCAATGGCATTCTCTACTAAAAGACCACAGGACTGGGAATTGGTACATATTTAAATTTTTGGTTTTGGTATACAGTGATCCCTCGCAATAACGTGGTTGACTTTCCACGGCCTCGCAGTTTTTTTTTTTTTATGTAATTTGACATGCTTTTTTCTTCAGTGCATTGTGTTCTGTCACCTGACTGGCTGTTGACCACTGTCAATCACTATCAAAGGCACCTGTGGTGCACCCAAAAGGCAGAGGAAGATGCTAATCATCGCAGAAAAAGTACATGCCAAAGGAAGGTAGAACTTATGCGGATGTAGGACGCCATTACAGAATAAATAAATGAAGATCAAATGGTTTTGATCTTTAGTTTTATTCTATAATACTGGACTTATTTTTCTACAAGGTTTTAAACTTTGAGAGTTTTAAGCAAGAAAGAAAAGTGTGAAAATGTTAATGTCTGCCTGAGAGAAGTGTATAAAGTGTAAAATAGGGGGTTTTACAGCCCAAAACATCTATAATAACGGTAAAAAATAAAGTGGAATACTTTGTGGATTTCACCTATTGCAGGCTATTTTTAGAACGTAACTAATTTAAAACGGTTCAATATCCTCCGTTTGTTTCCCACACAGAATCTCCGCATGCAGCAATCCCCAGATTCTTAGAGCATTTATATTGATTCAGTTCTTAAATTAATTTCAGTAATATTATTGACTAATATGAAAATGTTGATATAAATTATTTACAGTACAGTTTGTAAAGTAATATTAGTCTTTTAGTAGATCTATTACATAAGAGACTTGCTTTGTTTACAAGGTAGGTTTTGTTTTTGTTTTAGTTACTCTCAAAATCATTCCGCATAAATGTGTGGATATTTTTTACAATATGACCATATGACTTCCATAGTATGTTTTTGGATGTCAATGGCTACCTTTTTCCAAAGTCGAGAACAAAGACACAAATAAAGGTTTGGAACTATTCTAAGACGAGTAAATATTAATAGTAAATTTGAACTACTTTAAAGTTACTTTAAAGTAACAATGCATTTTCTTTTATTTGCTTTTTATTTGTTTTAGATGAGCTAAAAACCAGTATGGATGCACAATATTTATAGGAAGGATAATTTATCGAGCAAAATGGGTAAACAGTTACTTAACTTTTATTGCATTCACATTCATTACTTTTTTATTCAAGCAGCCAATGCTAAATTTGTGACCTTAGACCCAGGTTAAGCCTTTTATACAATGATAAAGAAGATCAAAACTCTCAGAAATGTTTAGTATAGTTTAGCCAGAGCTGCTAAAATATCAGGTTGGATTTTTTATTTTCTTGGCTGCACAAACTGCAGATAATATGAACATTATAATATAAAAATACAAACTTATTGATTATATTTTTTAATCTATTAAAATTATTCAAAAGGACTTGATCTGAATTGGTTAAAATCTTTCAGCGTGCAACCATAACAACCAGTTCATAAATCTAAGTTGTTTATCTCATCAAACTGAATCCAGAGATTAACTTTAGAGTGAAAGATCAAATATAAAAGTGGAAGATCATAATTGATTAAATCCTTTTTATTATCAATATTTTTCCCCCCAAATAATCCATATTATTTTTTCCCAGCACTACAAGATCATAAAACCAAACACTTAAACGGAGTGAAACCTCCGTGGAATGAGTAAACAACAGATTACCTCACTGGTGTTCTTGGGCTTCCCAGAACCTTGCGAGGTGACCGGGATTTTGGCTCAAAAGTGAACTTTTCTTTGATGTTTTCCAGCACAGATGGAGCTATGTATGTAAAGCCCTGAGGAAAGACGACATCCGAGAAGAGATTAAATAAAAAAAAAAAGTGTTTGGGTTGACAAAATAAAGAAAATAGCAGAGTGTAGAGGATATGCAATTATGACGACGCAAAAAAAAAAAAAGGTCTGGAAAACACAGTTAAACAGTAATAATACAGACCAGATGACAGACATTATCCCTTTCTCGTAAATGTGTCTCGAAAAATAACTAATTTACCACATGTACAATGATGACACACACTCAAAATGTAGGTCGGGAGACAGAAATTGATCTCACATGCATTCTTGAGGGCTCTACATGGCATGCTGATGGTAATTAAGATCAAATGGTGTATAAACAAATTTTGAGACCTCCTCCAAGATACTTTTGGGTTACAGTGTCATGTACGGCAAGGCCTTGGTGGGGCATTATATTGTTCTGTTTTTCTAAAGACAGGGTTTTCACAGGTGTTACCAAGTCAAACTTAAGACTTTTTTTATAACCCTTTTAAGACTATTAAGAATGAAATTTCAGACTTGTATAGGGCTAAATGCTACACTGCAAAAATTCTTTACTTACTCAGATTTTTTTTTCTTTTTTCTAGTCCAACTGTCTAAAAATTCTTAAAACGAGAAGCATTTTCTAGACAAGCAAGTCTTGTTTTAAGAAATAATATGCAAAAATTAAGTGAGTGTTTCCTTAAAATGGCGCAAGCAAAACAATCTTGTTTTTTCTTTTGACATAAAAATTTTTTGCTCACCAAATTGGCAGATTGTTTTGTTTGTTTTAAGGAAAAACTCACTTAATTTTGGCATATTATTTTTGATAAATATATTTCTTTAAAAAAATCAAAGCAAGAAAAGCATTTTTTGCAGTTTAAGGATTTTTCTTAACTTTCTTACATTTTTTGTCACATTTTTTAAATAATGTATCAAATCAAGCAGACCCTTTTTTGTTAATCAACTTAAAAAAAAAACTCTTTAAAACTTTAATAAACTAAATGTACAATAGATTGTTATAATATTAGCTATAAATAGAGTTTTGCAAAAAGTGTTATTGAGATGTAATGAGTTTTTAAATTTAAGTAATTTAAGAATTAATTCACATATAAAGAAATTTAAGTCTTAATTTGACTTAAACTCTTTAAAACGTACATAAACTAAATGTGTGCACAACTGACTGTTATAATATTAGCTATAAATAGTTTTGCACAAAATTTTATTGAGCTGTATTTTTGGTAATTGGATGTGTGTTGGATCTGTTGGGTAGCTTTACGTAAACAAAGAAAAATTATGACCTGTTTAAAATGATTTATGATGTACAAGACACCATTTCATTGAATTTAAGACTTTTTAAGACCCCGCGGACACCCTGTAAAGCACATATTGTTTACATTTATGAAGAAAATCTGTTATCATTATGCATGTAGTATGTGTAACATTAAATGAGATAAATAAGCATCCATCTGTTAAAATATAATTCTATAGGGAAACAAATTAGAGAATATTTTTTTTAATTCTGAAAACTATTAAATCTGTTCCCTTATTTTAAAATAAAAAATATTGTCATTTTAAAGAATAACTGACAACTGGTCAAAATAATAATAAAAAAGTACTGTGTTTAATATATTTAGATTCTTTTTTACAACCCACAATACCAGTGTTTTGACTTTAGATCAGTTAAAAAAGGCAGTACTTGGTGGAATTACCCTAATTTTCAATCACAACAAACTAAAAAAAACAAACACTACAGTTTAAAGTTTGAAGTGATTAAAATGTTTTAAAAGAAATAAATAATGCATAAAGTTGATTAAAATTAACAGTAAGAAATGGAATGTTTGGACCATAATAAATGCTAGAAATGTGAACAAATACTTCCATGCTTTATGGCAGTGTACTAAGATTCAACCTTTTTGGGAACCTGTGTTAAGACATTTAGATGAAGGCCTGGGATTTAATATTCCCCTCTCACCCAGGATATGTCTTTTAGGTGATAAAACTGAGGTTCCACATATTGAGTTACGAGTTCTCCCTTTTAACTGTTGGTATAACTACAGCAGCATGTATAATACTGAGGTTTTGGAAAGACAATGCTCTTTACTTAAATTATGAATGGAATTAATGACTGAGAATGTGTCGTTAGCCCAAATGAATGGCAGTCATAAGTAGGGTTTCTACAGGTTAAATTTAAGACATTTAAAGACATTTTTAAGACCATTATGAATTAAATTTTAGACTTATCTAGCATTAGCATTAGCTAAATGCTAAGGATTTTGTCGAATGGCTCAGTTGGAAAAAAATGTTTATTTGCCCTATCAAACTTTTTTTTTAATTAATTGAATAAATGCAATAATATTTGAGTTAAATCTGAGTTAAATATTTTAAATATTGTGTCAAAGCAAGCAAGCTCTATTTGTATACATACACATTATTTCAACATAACCTTTCTTAAATATATATATATATATATATATATATATATATATATATATATATATATATATATATATATATATATATATATATATATATATATATATATATATATATATATATATATTAATTAATGTTTTGAAGGTTTAAAAAAACTATAAAAAACTATGTATGCACAACAATCTGTCCAGGTCAGCTTCCTCAGCAGTAAATAAAGGAAATGAATTCAACCATCATGGTAAATAGAGTTAAACAAAAAGTTAAAAGTTTTATTGAAATGGATTGTTGGTGATTGGATGGGTGTTAATGGCCTTGATTGGGTAGCTATACATGGACAAAGGAAAATTAAGACCTGTTAAAAAAAGATTTAAGACCCACAACACATAATGTGAGTAGGTTTAGGATGTTTTAAGGCCTACAATTTTGTTTTTGAGATTTAAGACATTTAAAGACACACTGATAAGAAAGTTGATCTATGGGAGAATTTCATTTCTTCACCTAAACAACAAACGTGTTTACCCTGTTGTGCTCTTTAGTATCATCTTTATGCATCTGTTACTGTTTTCCTAATTATTTTTTCTAATTTTTTAACAGTTTATTTTTCTAAACTGTGAAAAAAAATGTGTGCATTTTGTATGGTACTGTATGTTATATTAAGAGGAAACCAATAAAAACTACATTTTCCAAAAAATAAAAAAATAACAGTAAGGACCATTAAATTGAGGTGAAACGGTGGTGCAGTGGAAATCACTGTCACCTCACAGCAAGAAGGTTGCTGGTTTGAGCGCCAGCTGGGTCAGTTGGCATTTCTGCGTGGAGTTTGTATGTTCTCCCCATGTAGTGTATGTGTGTATGTCATGCTCCTCCAGGTTGGGGGTTGACCATTGGACTAACAACCCACTTCATAAAAACTAGATGCTACCAAACACCAACATGGTGAGGCTAAATATCAACTTCAATATAAAATGGCCCTGGGAGTAAGTAGGTTAGGACAATTAAATTGCTACAAATTATTTAAATTTCAAGTTTTCCATATTTCTTGGGAAACAAATTAGCACGTTAGAAACATTTATGAAGAATTATGTGACTCTGAAGACTGGAGAATTTATGTAGAATATTAAACTTCATCATCATGGAAATAAATCAAATTTGAAAATGTTTAGAAATAGAAAACATCACAGTTTAACTACATCTTTGATCTAATATACACATCCTACTGCTCAAATCCATTCAAGATAAATGATCTGATGATTGCACAAACATAAATGCAACTCAGCTGGAGACACGACAGAGGTATAGTGTTGACACGGAGATAAATTTAGCCTAAAAAGTACCACAGACTCACCAGGAAGACTTGGTTGTCGCTTTCACTGAGCTTCGTGTCATCAGGGCTGTCCACGGGAGTCTGACTAGTGAACTTTGAGTCAAACTGGCTAACATCATCTGCGGATTGCTGCAAAAACATATATCTGTGAGGCAATGTGATCCAACACAACATATTACAACATACACAACACATGACTATTAGCAATAAGAGAAATCTGCAGAGAGTTGATCCTACCAAAAAGGGTTTGAATGGAGGATCAATTTTGAATGCCAGCAGATCATCCCAGTTTATGTGTCTGAAGAAAGAGTGGCGCTAAAAACAAATACTCTTTTAAAAATACAGAACACTCCATTATATATGTAAATGTCAGGTATGCATGATTAATAGATTCAAAGTATCAGAAAAGCAGATACCTGGATGTCTAGAACATCTCTAGGACTTGCTCCAATCCGTACCGATGCATTTCTCTTCAGCAACTGGATGCAAATAGCAGGCACACACACAAACTCAGTTTAATTAAGCAATAAGACTGAATATCTCGCTAAAGCTGATTGACTCAAGACTTTTACCTTTTTGAGGAGGTCTCGAGCCTCTTGGGTGAGGTACGGTGGAAGGTTTAGTTTGCACTTCAGGATTTTGTCAATGGTCTTTTTCCGATTCTCCGCTGTGAACGGCGGCTGAAAGTAAAAGGGTTTAAATGTTAAGAGCATGCAGTCGGGGTAAACTTAAGTGTGTATTCCCTGTATAACTCCTTGAGATATTTAAAATATTTACAATAAAGTTTACTTTGTTTTTACCCCTTGTGTGCTGTCAGGAATGTTTTCATCTACTCTGGGCTGATTTTAACTTCTACTTTGCCCACAAGTTTCTTTGCGTTTCAGCAAATGGTATGATTTTTGACACATATTTTGGGTAAATGCTTTGAAAATGTTCAAAAAGTTAACACATTCTGGGGAAATTGACTACTCTTTCGTTATGTTAGTGGTTGTTTTTGCCCCGTTGACTTCCATTATAATGACACTATTTGATTGCAAAGCCATGACACCCTACAATCATGCATGCGTCCTTGTTGCGAAGAGACAAAATTTGTATTTTTTGCTGTTGATCATCAGTTGCAGTACAAAAAAAATTAAGTTTCTGGCTTTTATCTTGAGTATAGTGTGTGTCTGTTACTGTGAGACCTTTCCTTCCTACTTACCTTGATATGTCAGAGAGAATCTAAATAAGCACCCCGGCTCTCAGGGCAAAGTAATCATAATAAGTATATTTATACACGCACACTATAATCTGTTGTTTTAATCCATAGAACTCTATATAAAAGCAAGACTTTTTTTGCCCAGGCCTATTTAAAGGTTTAATGCTGCCAACTGATGATCAACAGTAAAAATGACAAATTTTACCTCTTCCCAACAGGGAAAACCACCAACAATCAAAAATGCATGATTATATGGTGTCAAGACTTAGGAATAAAAAAATATCAATATAATGGAAGTCAATGGGGCATAAACAGCCACGACTTCAGCCATGACTTCTCCCATAGAAATATGTAATCCCAAAGCATAGAAAATTCATTTTAAAATTCTTCACAAAATATACCCAGTCAATGCATTTATCTCAGAATTAACTGATATTGCAGATACTTGCTCTCTCTGTCAGGAAAGTGAGGAAACTTTCACTCACGTGTTTTTTTACATTTAAAATCTCACAAAAGTTTTGGTCAGATTTACATAATTATTTGAATAAATCACAATCAAAAAAACAAATCTTTAAAATGAAAGATATTAATTGTTATTATTCTAGTCCCAAAAATAAAAATTAAGAATAATAATTAAGAATAATAAGAATATATTTATATATTTGTTTTTATATTATATGCGAAATTCTTTATCCACAAACAAAAATGTCTTAAATCCTCTCCCTCATTTGCACATTTTTTTAATTGAAATTGATTCCTTGCTTAAAGATATACGTTTATCTAACAACAATTTTGCAAGTTAACAGAAACTTATGAAAATATCATGCTTCCAGTAAGTTAGTTTTTGATGCTTTCTGTGTTTTTTCATTTATTTTTGTACTTCCCCTTTCTTGATTTCATTCTCTTTTTTTCTTTTCTATTTCTTATCTGTTACTTATTGTTATCACTTTGTAACTGTAGGTACTTGTATTCCAGTCTCTTACAGATTACTTCCAGGTTTATATTGTACATTTCTTCTTTCCTAAATAAAAGTTTGTTAAAAAAAATAAACAAAGAAATAAAGAATAAGAAATGAATAAACAGCCACGAACATAACGAAAAGGTAGTCAATTTGAACAATACGCAAGAGTTAAATATGTCTCAATCGAAGGAAGTTATAATTTCCTCTGCTCTCACCAAGAACAAACATTGGCACTACTTGAATCTATATGGCCTAAATATTTCAAAATTACATTTTTAGTACATAAGCACGATTAGAAAGAAAAATGTTCAACACTGAACCCCGACACTAAACAGGCATGTGATCAGCCGAGGACAAAAAAGAAGGAAGACGAAGTAATTTTATAATCTTGCATATTGTCAGCAGCTTTGTCACATTATTGGACTACACAATATCATTATGTTATATAAAGAGTAGCCTACGTAGGTCTACAATTACATCCCTAAAAGACGTCTGTAATGATGCAGGTCGTCTGCTGTGATGACGATGAAGACACTCACAGCCTTCTTTGCTCTTATTTATTTACCAAAGGTGTCCCTTAGTAGAAGGTTTGGGAGGAGTAACCCCTTAAATAGACTAGTGGATTAAATGTCAAATATGCACATACAAGTACTCTGTTCAGACGTCTTCACCTTTTTTGTCATCATGTTGAGCAACTTTAAATTTGTATCTAAATTATTTAAATTAACTGTTTTGTTTGAACAAGATTACATCAATGTTATTTTGGGTTTAGGCAGGCAAAATGGTGTGTCACTGAGGTCAGAAATAAGGTTGACAACTATTTGCAAAATCTCTGTCAATAGATTAACTCATCAGGGATTATCTCTGATAAATTTACACATATCCTTGTCATGTATTTTAAAGTCTCTTCCATGTCTAGCGATAATGTGCAGGTCTGTCTTCATGGCAATAAACTGAAAACTGGAGTTGATGGTGAATAGCAGCAGGTTTCAATTAGATTTTTTATTTATTTAAGGGTTTTATACGAATGCCTAAAGGCAAACCTGTACCTTTCTGTTTGCGTTAAAAAGTATTTTTGACACATGTACAGTGGCCTAAAACAACCCTTGAAAAGGTCAAGGTGTGTGTATTTTATTTTTATTATCATCATTTAATACAAATTTAAAATTATGTTTCTACAGTTTCTGACTGGATTTGTTAGGCATGTGTTTGAGTGAAATAATAATATTTGTTTAATTCTATAAAGGTCTAATAACATTTCTTATAAAATTGCAAATACAAAAATGCCATTTAGAAGATTTTGTTCTCAGAAAATAACCAAAAAAAGTTAATTTGTAGTGAATATAAAGTTCCTAACATTTCTAAAGCTAAAACACATGCTTTTGTCTTGTCTACTTTGATATTTTATGCAACAACAAAAAAATAATACAAACAAAAATTATGTTTTTTACGCAAACATGACTTTAAATCGTAAATCTACCAAAATATACATTAAAACAGAAATGTCATTTTTAGACTAAAGGAACTGAATTTTAAAATGAATGAATAATGGTCACACTTTTTACGTACAATTCTCACTAGTAATAAACCATTAGCTAAGTCTTTCAGCTCAATAAACTACTAATTAGCTGCTTATTAATAGCTAGTAAGGTATTATTTGGATTTATTGGGTAGGATTAGGGATGTAGATTAAGATCATGTTTTGTAAGTACTGATAAACAATCAATATCTTAATAATAGCATGTTAATAAGCCAATAGTTAATATTGGGAATTAGTACTTCAAATAAAGTGTTACCAGACTAGTTCACAATAATACTATTTTTATATTTCTGATCAAATAAATGCTTTGGTGAGCCTAAGAGACTTCTACAAAACATTTATAACAATTTTACCAACCCAAACGATATTTTTTAATGGTAGAACACAGATATTCTATAAATGTTTTCAAAATACTGTACAGTTAAATCTATATGCCTGTATTTACCTACAGATATAATCCACAATTTATTGACCTAATTTATTCCATCATGTCAAACATTAATACAGCAGCAAGAAATCAGAGAGCAGACGTGAGATCAGAAACTCACAGCTCCTGTTAGCATGTCATACATCAGAGCTCCCAGGCTCCACCAGTCCACAGCTCGGTTATGGCCACTTCTGGTGAGGATTTCTGGTGCCCTGAAAGAGGAGAGGAACAGAGAAACAAAGAGAGAGACCAAAATGAATGCACAGAGAAAGAAAAGGCCAGCAAACCAGCCATTTTGTTTTGTGCTGCTGTCTTTTTTTTTTTTTTTTACTTAGACCCAACTGACACCAGAGGCCCCAAATGGGCCTTCAGCAGACGTGATTGATGGAGGCTCTGACCTCGATGAACTGCACTTTTAAAGAAAACATAACATCAAGAAGGAGAATTTTCCGTCTCATTTAAATTGAAGATAAAAGTAACATAAACATAATCAATATGTAAACTTGTTTTTACATCGACTAGCTAGTTATTGACATTCTAGAAGTGATAGACCATTTTGAGGGATGTAACCAAAAACAATGATCCCAATGTATTTCCTGTTTTACATTTTTTTTATTTCTATAGCTTTTGAGCTAATAACGTTATGATAGCTGTTTGACATGACCACATTGAAAGGGTCTATAGTGGTATAATGAACTTGTTGAACTGGGTTTGTACATACATGTACTCTATGGTTCCACAGAAGGTGTGTGTGACGGTACCATCGTGGATCGACTCCTTACAAAGTCCGAAGTCTGTCAGCTTGACATGACCTGAGAGGAGAATAAAGTGAGCGCATTCAGAGATTGAAAACTCTGTGATGCTAGCTGAGTGTTTGGCTGTCTGTCTGGGATAAAAGGACGGACGTGAGTGTGTGTATAATTACCGTTGTAATTTAGCATGATGTTCTCTGGTTTAAGATCCCTGTAGATGATGCCCTTCTGATGAAGGTGACCTAAGGCCAGGGAAATCTCTGCCAGGTAAAAGCTGGAAGTTGATTTATAAAAAACATGAAGAAAAAAAATTATAGATAAAAAATGATTCATTGATAATTTTTATGTAATCAATGTTTTAATAAAATAAGCAATACAAAAATTTATTTTATTCTATGCAAGTACTCTTTAAAATATAAAGCAAAATAAAATCAACATAAATTTTTTTTAATTTACCTAACAACTAACAATCAAGAACTTATGAACAACCAATGTAAACAAAGATTAATAAATACTGTATTCCATGTATTGTTCATTGTTTGTTTATGTTAGTAAATACATTAACTAAAACAACCTTATTGTAAAGTTGTAAAGTATTTCTATATATAGACATATGCACACAAATATACACTATGTACTGTATATGTATACACACACACATACATATACACTAGTGTTGTAACAGAACACAAATCTCCCGGTTTGGATCACACTACAGTTTTTGAGTCACGGATCAAACAATTTTTCGGATCAGCAAAATTGGGAGGAGACAAATGTCATTTGCTTTTCATTTACACAAAATTATTACTGCAAAAACTATTGGTTTTAACAAACAGAACTTAGAACCTGTAATTTTAATAAAAATAAAATCAAAAAAGAACCAGCTGAAAAAAGGAAAACAAATCAATACAAAAAATGATCTTTGCTACTGTTGCTGATAATGCTAAATATAGAACGCCAGCAGTATATATATAAAAAGGTGCATCATTTTTGAAAACCTATTCAGTGACATAATTTTGATGGTTGTTTTTTCACCACCCATTGGTTACACAACGTAATTGCTACAACATTCACCAGCATCAAGTTCCATTAAACAGTGATTTTAATCTTTACCATTATCATCAGTGTTTATATCAGAACTGTAAACTGTTCCGCCAGTACTTCTGTGTTACTTAATTATTTGTAACTAACTGAAAAAGAGTAAAAACTGAATCTCTCTTGCTTAAACAGATTTGAAAACAGTGATTTGAAGGTTTAATAAAAGTATGCAAATCATTATCATTTATGTTGTGCAGGTTTGAATTGAGATCACAATCTTTTAATGTTTAATTGTGCAGCTTTACACTTAAAGTAGTAATGCAGGCTAAACAAACAGTAACAGAAAACACCTTTCCTTAATAACCTAAGCATTTAGGTCCCATCACAACTTTTTCCATCATCATATTTTACAGGGAAGCCAAAATGCTTTCATACACGTAATTTGAATGACGCTGGAGGTGATCGCTCTCCATTTGTTATAAATGTTGGATTAACCTACAAGTTCAAAAAAATGTTACAACCCTCCCGCACAAGATCAGTGTTTACACACAAAACAGACATCCGACAAGTCATCCTGACCCTGGAACGATCAATATTCTGATAAGAGTAATAGGACTCACTCACCAGGCCGTGTCCTCCAAGAAGATTCCCTCTCTCTCCAGCTGCATGAACAGCTCTCCACCTGTTACACAAACAACAACCTCATTCCATATACTTTCTCTAAAAGCAAGTCCTATGTTATGCAACTGTGCAAATTCACATTTATATACATGTTTATTTTTTGCACCCAAACCTAAAATACATACAGAGGACAATATTAGACAACTACAAAACCCAAAATGTTAAGGTAACTCAAACTTGTATGAGGAAACCAATTGCAACAAACTATTTAAGCTCAAAAACTAATCCTAATGAGTACTGTGAACTTAATCCACTTGAGTAAACGGTGCAATTTGAGCACAGTAAAACCCAATAAATGAAGAGAACTCAAACCGTTTGAGGAAACAGATTACAACAAACCATTTGAGTAAAAAAAATGATTTAAATGAGTACTGTGAACTTACTCCATTTAAGTTGAAGAAATTAGATATTTAAGTAACTTATTACCTTCAACACGGAGTTCAAATTTCTTTTCAAATGAGTAGAATTAACTTTCAGTCAATTTGGAGTGGGCTGTTGGGTTTTACAGTGTATGAACATTGTTGCAGCTACTAATAGGGAATACTAGGCAATATGACAAAGATGTCATATCATGATATTTCCATGAAATTTCCAAAGCAATTTTTTCAGTTTCCCATTACATTTTTCTTAACTATTTTAATAATATTAGAACTTAATTTGTTTTTTTTTTTACTTTTTTATTAATTTGCAAAATAACTAGTAAAATATTATATATGGTCAAAAAATACTAATTAGAAATTAGTTGTAAAAAATATTGCGTTTTACAATGTATTTGAAAATGAATTACATTTTTTTACAGGAAGGCAATTTATATTGTGTTATAACTGCAAATAATCTCATATCCTGCTGATGATATATATAGATATATCTCACAATAGATTATATGTTTCTGTAACTTTAATCAATTAATAGTAAGCAGTGGGGACAGTAAGTACTGAACACATCATGTTTTTTCTTGGCAATAATATTTCTGAAGGAGCTGTTGACATGAAATTAAACCGGATTTTGGAAAATCCCAAACAATACAAACATAAAAACAAAACAAAGGAAAGAAATCTGAAAAATGAGTTATGGGTAATAACAATGGAATGGAGAAAGTACTGAACTACTGAAACATATTTAATACTTGATATAAAAGGCTTTTCTGTGATGGCAGCTTAAAGACTTAAAGTTGTGATTTTTTTCACAGACTTCAAAAAAGTGTATTAATCTTGATGGTTCTGTGGGTCTCGACTATCAAATATGATCTTTAATTTGTGTTTTATATTGGATTCAAGTCAGGTAATTGGCTGGGCCATTTTACAGCTTTATTTTCTTTCTTTGAAACCATTTGAGAGTTTCCATTGCTGTGTTTTGGAACATTGTCTCGCTGAAATGTCCACCCTGGTTTCATCTTCATCATCCTGATAATATAGATGTTGGACTGAAGCAGCTAATATTCATTTACAGTGACGAAGGGCAGAGGGTTGCTGAAGAACTTTTAAGAGATTATAGCTGTTCTCTCGGCTTTCACTGCCTTTCTGCACCTCCAATTCTTCATGTGTTCAATACTTTTCCCTGCGTCATTTCATCTTATTACACAAAACTTAATTCGTAAACTAATTAGATTTGTTTTCTTTGCATGTATGCATGTTGTCTTTGGTTGTTACCAACATCCGGTGAAAATTTCTAATTAGATTAGATTTAGATTAGATTAGATTCAACTTTATTGTCATCACACATGTACATGTACAAGTACAATGCAACGAAATGCAGTTTAGGTCTAACCAGAAGTGCAATAGCAGCAAGTGCAGGATACAGGAATAAGTTATAAAGTGCAGTTATAGAAAAACTATGGTGATATTTACAGATGGATGTACTATGAACTTTATATACAGGTTGGATAAGCTATGAGCAGATTTACAATATATGAATATATGTGCAGGTTGCTATTAATAATCAGTAGTGTGCAGATAGATAAACATGATTACAAGTGTATATGTAACAATATATGAATATATGTACAGGTTGCTATTAATAATCAGTAGTATGCAGATAAATAAGCATGATTACAAGTGTATATTTATAGTGGGTGTGTACATAATTACAAATGTCCATATGCAGTGGTTATGTACAGTTCAATAAGTAAACAGTTCAATGTGGTGCAGTGAATGTGCAAATTCTTAAATGTGCAAATGTTAAACAGTGCAGTTATTGCGAGGAGTTTAAGTTAGAGGAGAGTGGGGGGTGTATTGGGGGGGCAAAAGAGTCAGTGGGGGGCAATTTTGTAGTGCTACAATATTGCTAAATATATTAACAGCACCTTTAGAAATATGTTTTCTGAGACAAATGATGACATGTTCAAATGTACTCATTTATATCCAATTCTTTTTCTAACTTAAGTCAGAATCTCAGAACCTTGAATTTTTGATTCAAGATGTAGAAATATAAAATAAATAAAAAGGTAAGCCCAACATAAAATACAACCAAATAAAATGCAAAAAGTAAACAATGTACTTTTAAATCGTGAAAAGTTATTACAGTAAACAATGAATATTTTAGCACTACAAAATAAAAAAGACCATAATATGAAAATATTAACTTTTTATTTCATCCAGACGAGAGAGATATATATATATATATATAGCCATATTGCACAGCCCTAACTACTAATGTATTTTTGCCCAATTAGCTGCTGAAAATGTTAAACTCACCACTGAGGTACTCCAGGATGAGATAAAGTTTTTCTCCTGTCTGAAAGGCATATATAAGGTCCACAATGAAGGGATGCTTAACTTCCTCCAGGATGCTCCTTTCTGCTTTAGTGTGAGCAGTGTCTTTTGCATTGCGTACAATCATGGCCTGTTGAAACAGATAAAAGCAACAGAATTCAAGCTTTAAGAAATGATGTGTGGAAACTCACACTTGTGTGGTAACTCCTCTAATCAGCGCTCTAAACTCATCAGGTTGGTGTCATTAATGCTATTGTTGCAATAAATAAACGTGTAAATCAAATTCAGGAATGGAATCTAAACCATTTTAATGGTTTACAAACCGCAGGGAGCAATGCAGCAAAGGTCTCATAATGATTAAACCGTGTCCACTGCCTTAATGTTTGCTCTTCTTGTTACCAACTGTAGTTTAAAAGCTATTTAAGCTATAATTGCACTCAATGAAGAGGCCAATATATGCTTATAGTAACAGAGCAGCATCCTGGTGGAAGATATTTATAGTTTACGATAATATTATAATTGTTGTTTGAAGGTTGTGTGTGAGCAGACATTGTTGAGCGTCTCACTCAAATCACAAAGAAACACATTGAGAGTTCATGAAGAAGCCTATAAGAAGAATTCTTAAACTTAAGTTAAAAACTACCCAAAATGAGCTTGTTTTTTTATTTAATAACATGATATATGCTTTAGTAATATTAAAGTTATTTTCCCCTCTGTAACTTTCCCTAAGTATATGAGCGTGGTTGCAAATGTGTTAATGATTATATTCAAAAACAATTATCATCGAGGTCACATTTTAGACAGTGTTTACATTTCCGTTTTAATAATGAAAACACAGCAGTCAACATTTGAAGAGGACCATCATCTTTCATCAAGGTTGTCTACAAAATATTGAACACTACCCATTCTTGTTTTGAAAAACCTTTTTTGATCCACTTCAGATGTGGACTACAGTAGTTTCAACACACTTGTGTTTATTTCCTGTAATAACCCATTTTTAATAAAAATTATTGATTGTATAAATTAAGTTAATTAATAATGACTGTCTGCCACAGATTGGCAGTTTTAGTGTCATATTTATCCATGTAAAATTGGTCTTGGTCAGCTAACATTGCATTGTAATCATAGTGTTATGATAACATTTTGTGTTACTGTGTGTCTTTTGTTTTGATCAATAGTGTCAAAATAAATAACTGATTGTATTATTAACCCTTTAAAGGGCATTTTGAGTGTTACTAGGAGTTTTAACTAGACTTTTAAGAACGTTTCAGCCTTTATAAAATACATTGCAATTTACCCTTGTACAAAAAGAAACATTTTAGCAGCTGATGTGAAAAAGAAAAACACTAAAACACTACTGGCACTGTTTACATGTCATGAATCCTTAAAACATTATTCACCCACCTGTAGCAAACCACACTAATAAAACCTGTTAACCAGCAGAACCAGCCCAGGCTGACTTAAATTATCATGAATATGGGGAAAAATATGCAGGGCAATACCTTCTTCAAGACCTTCATGGCAAATATCTTCCCAGAAGCTGCCCCGGCAACCTTGCGAACTTGGAAAACCTGTTTTAATACAACAACAGAAAAAATGTCACAAACAAAACAAATGACGCTAACCCAAACAAGAGTCAAAAGACAAACAAACTCTTGAAGTAATCAAATCTTTGTGTTTTTGTTTCTTTGCATATTTACAGCATCTCTTACATCGGCATGAATAACATTAAAATTTGTTTTTTAAGCACCAAATCAGCATATTAGCAGGATACTATGTGATACTATGGCTCCAAAATACTGGCAGTGCCACTGTAGTTTGTAAACGGTAGCATTGTCATTAACAGTATGTCTACGATATATAATGTTGCATGTGGAGAAAAATGTTCACATGTTTGTGCAACAATAGACCATTTTATTTTAATAGTGTATGGAGTCTTCTTATGTTACAAAACTGTGTAGAATTCATGCCTTATATGGTAGCCTATTGCATATTTACTGATGTTTCAGTTCGAATCTAAATCCCTTCATTGCTGCTCATGTCAATATGATTTAATAGCTACAACAACCGTGACAATCTTTTAAAAACTCACAAAGGGAAATTTTAAATTACTTTGGATTACCTGATAAGACTGAAAAAAAATGTAGGTGAAAAGACGTGCAAATGATTTTTGCTCAGTAATAAGGGAATTGTTAATTTATTCAAGTAGGCCTATTATAACAAATAAAATATAGTATTTATGGCATTTTTCTTTAATTCATGGATTTGAGTTATGAATTACAGTAATAGCAATACTACTTGGTATCACGATACTTCAGCTGATATAGTATTATGACATGAATGAATGGTATCGTGACTACATTACAAGGTACTGTAGTAAAATTACTTTATTCACAGAAAAATGTAAAGCAAGGAATTACTGTTACAGTTTTAGGTTATTTAATGGATTACTTATAGTGTATTTCCTTTAAAACTGCAAAAAACGGTTCGGTATGAATGAATTCAAAGAAATTGTATTTAAAGTAATTGTATTAAATTGTATTTAAATTAAATTTGCATAATTATTCAATTTCTAAAGCAAAAAATTACATTTATCAGGATAATCGTGCATGCTTAAACAATGAACGGAGTAAAAATGAATGACAATATGTAGTATTTATGAAATAAGGTGTCATTGCTTTGAAACGCTTTATGTTTTCTAAAAGTTTTTTTTTTCCCTTTTTGCAGAATAATTCTGTTTGTTGGCTGAATAATGTCATGTTTGTTATTAAAATGCTTAAGTATAAGACTTTAACAAAGCTAAAATGCCATATATAACTCTGATTTAAAGAATTATAATGATTTTATTTAAGGATTGAGATTTATAGAGATGTTGAACAGTATTTAGTCAAGCAATTCAAATAATCATTAAGTAATTTAATTACTTTTCAGACATTTTATTTAGACAAGTAAATTAAATACAACTGTAATGACGTAATTAGTAATTACTTATGTTTAAATGTAACTTTCCCAACACTGTTTACAATAGAACTATTTATACAGTATGTTTCTTTAAATAAATGCAGTTTTGTTGAGAACAAGAGAACGTTTGAACTACAGCTTTGAACTGTTATTTTCTGGCCAACATTGTGTGTCCAAAATACATGCTGTATTTTGGTCACATGCAGGGAGCAAACACTGCTAGTCTTGCTTACCTTTCCATATCCACCTTTACCCAAAACACGAAGCAACTCAAAACACTCTGGACGAATCTTCTCAGTTCCTTGATTTACGCTGTCTTCAGAGATCTCAAACTTTTCACAATCTTCCATACTGCTCCAAAACATTCAAACAGAGATATTTAATTGTGGATAAGAGATACAAAGGATATAATTTAGTTTGTCCACTTTGACATACTCACAACTCAAAACCGCTGCACTGGTCTATATATTCATTAATCTTGGCCTGTGGACAAAAAAAAGGAAAACTTGTTTTGTGATTTTAGTAGGTTTACAGAGATTTTTTTACGTGCACTGCAGCTTTTTACCAAATGCACACAGTGTGCAGATCTGACAAAGCTATTTAAGCTCAATCTATAGCAGTGACTGATGCGTACTGCCTCTCCTGCACCAGACAGAGTATCAAGGTCACTGATCGGCTGTTATCACATTACAGGACCCAGTCTAACAATAGTGAGAGTGTCTGACCAATGCAACTCAGACCTGCAATGGATATTTAATGTTTTCTTTTTGTTTCAGTGGCAATGCAAGTGCACAGCGGGCCTGAAACTTTCACACACACACAAAAAAAAACACGTGTCAAACACTAAACCCCATTGATTATGCAATCAATGAGGTTTAGTGTTTCAAATTAAGTTTAAAGGGACGATACTTCAAAAAAAAAGGAAAAACAATATGTTACTTTATAACCCTCTAGTCATCCTAAATGTAGGTGACATATTTTCTTGTTTAGAACATACATTTTCATTGGTCTTTGGTGATTGATAAAACACAATTCAGTGGCTACTGGCACTTTTGACTCAAAGAAATATATATAATAGAGCAATTCCATGCAAATGTCAACCTTACCATGAAAAAAAATTGCATTTCCACCAAAATATCAAAACCTGCATTTTTTTGTGTGTAAGCAAGTATTTAACAGTGATTTAAAAATACTAAAAAATGGTCACTGTTAATGTTTTCAAATGATTAAATTTGATTAACCAAAATCACACAAGTGCCAATTTTACGTTGGTCACATCCATTACAAAGCTTTTTCCTCATAAATGTAAAAAAAAAAAAAAAAAAAGTCAAATAAAATAAAATCAATCGTTTTTGTTCTATAATGAGCCGACTCTTATGCTTTTGATTACCATTGTTTCTTTTGGGTTGTGCAGTTTAATTCACAGAATTTCTACAAAGTACGCTGTATTCTGTAAACTCACAGACTATTTTGGACACATCCATAACAAATGTTTATTTCCTCATTTAAAATATAAAAAATGTTTACAGATTGATATTTTTCTGATCCCTTAACTCTGTGGTTGGAAGTTTTTACAATATAAACCGATGTTTTAATATACCCTTAAGAAATACTTTCTCTGTGAATTTATGTTTTGAGATTTTACCACAAATGTCACATCCATAATGCTGGAATTGCTCAATAATAAAATTACCAGCAATTCAGCAAGACACACTGATGTCTGTCTAATGAAGCAAACCGGTAATAATATGTGTGAAACTGATTATTCAGACATTATTATCAGTCATCCACAGACTTGGGTGTGTTCATGACAGCTTCCTATCAGGTACTGTAATATTGCATTTGCTTGTCCAAACTCATGTGTAAGTTAACAAAGTTTGTTTACAACTACATGATACAGGTTGCTGGATTCAAGAAAAGCACAGATAGTACAATTCTGATGAACAATACGGTATATTTCCTCCCTCTTATAGTTGTAAACAAACCGTCAGCTCCTGTGAGTTAGTGAACAATTGTTTTGCTTTGCAACAAAACATTGTCATGAAAGCACACATGATTGTTGGCTGAGGTTGTAGATTAGAAAATGTTCTAAACAATGTTTGTTCTTGAACAGATTAGCAATTTGCTTTATGAGACAGTGTATATTTGGTGACCACAATTTTGTTTTGCATCTATATGTTTATCTTGACTTTCAAAGTTTCAGGTTTCTGAAAAGAAGGCTTGTTGTTGTTTTTTTAAGCTGTCTCAGTTAATCAATAACGTGCTGACCAGCTATTCTGTCCTAACTAATCAGCTGGTAGTTAACATTATATCTGATATGACTAACTTTAGCTAGTGGATGGTTTGTTGCCGTTTCAAGATCCACCATCTTAATAACCAGCCTGAACCAGCTAATATCCAGATTAGACCAGCCAAAAACCTTAAATCTTTAGCTTTAAAACATGATTAAGAAGAGATTAGTGGACTATTCTAAGCTTTTTCAGACACACCATTGTAACTTGGGTTTAATGTGTTGGACTAACGTTAATTGAGTGATAACTTGTCAATTATATAATAGCCGACCACGGTACTGTCACACTTTACCATAGTACAGCCATAGCACTTTTAAGCCGTGCTTTTAAAACGGTAAGGTGTTGGCTCTATTCTCAGGCCGGTTCAGTCAATGCGGAAAATCTGAAACGAGCCGGTTAACGGGTACATACCCCGTCGGAGAGCTCCTCATCTGACACGTTGTCCTCCGGCGGGTCCAAATCGATATCAAACACCCCAGCCATGGCCACAGTCTCCTTAGACTCTCCAATACCCGAATTAAGACGAATCCCGACGCCTCATGATCCAGCACGACTCACCGACGCCATAACCGGCTCCGGTACGCAACGTTCCCCAACGGAGATCAACTACCGGTAAAAGTAAATCAGAATGTCACAGGGCGTCAGTGCGCATGCTCAGAAATATGTAAAACAAAAGTCAACAAACAGATTGACCATTTTAATCAAACAAACACACGAATGTGTTGCTTTTTACTCCGACAGATTCAAAGTCGAGGTAAGAGTGTGTTAAATATAACGTTAGACACACGTCATTTTGGGTGTTTAGGAAGCTGGTTTTAGGTGTAGTACCACTGAGTTACCAATAGATGTCGACAAAAGACTGGATAATGTTTTGATTGCGTCCATAGCTCCGAACAACTTGTCATGACTTTCAGACAGTTATTGCACAATCGGTCTTGTGATCCTGTGTTTTAAAATAGGTACGACAATAAAATTGTGCAATCTCTATATTAGAATTGTTAGAATTAATAGTTCATATCAGTCAAGTGTGCGATTCTATTTTAATCAGTTTAGAAGTGCTGGCATTCAACAATAGGCTACTTGATTGCGGATCAATATCACGGTCACTTCATAATAGTGAATTCAGATATACAAATACAGACTTGTTATGTCTCCGTCCTAATATTAATTTGATCTAATGTCAGCTGAGTTGTCAGCTAATCCAATCTTTAGTCATTCTTAAGCATCGTCATAGTATGTTTCGTTTAATTTGTCAACACTCCTGTTTTCTAGCATATCCAAAATACTCTGGTCCTCTAAATCTTTTATCAATTTCTATTTTCTTTCCATTCTATCTTTTATATACAGTTGAAGAATTATCAGCCCCCCTGTTTATTTTTTCCCCATGCAATTTCTGTTTTACGAAGAGATTTATTCAACACATTTCTAATAGTTTTATTAACTCATTTCTAGTTACTGATTTATCTTTGCCATGATGACAGTAAATAATATTTTACAAAATATTTTAAGACACTTCTATACACCTTAAAGTGACATTTAAAGGCGTAACTAGGTTAATTAGATTAACTAAACAGGTTAGGTAATTAGGCAAGTTATTGTATAACGATGCTTTGTTCTAGAAAATCGAAAAAAATATATAGCTTAAAGGGGCTAATAATTTTGACCTTTAAAATATATTTTTAAAAAGTAATAACTGCTTTTATTCTAGCTGAAGTAAAACGAATAAGACTTTCTCCAGAAGAAAAAAAATATTATCAGACATACTGTGAAATTTTCTTTGCTCTGTTAAACATAATTTAGGAAATATTTGGAAAGAAAAACAATTTAAAGGGGGCAAATAATTCTGACTTTAACTGTGGTATATTAAAGCATGTAGCAGTTTTATCTCTGTTCTATCTACTTTTGCCAAATGATTAGTTAAAATGTATAACAACAATGTAATATACTAAAATACCATAACAAACGTACATAAATTATTGTGCCATGAAAATATATCTATCCTGGAGTTGCATTGACTATTGGATTATTATTGTTTTTGTTTTTTTGTAAAGAGCTATTCCTCTCCTGTCCTACCCTTGCAGCCATTTTAAAGGATAGTAGAAGAAAGACACAAGCTCACACACTACACATTGTTACGAAGTGCTGGATAGCCACAATTCTCTGTTCCTCTTATAACACCACATGAATGGATTACAACGGGCACTTTGTGTGTCACTAAGCAGAACAAAAAATGACTATGCAAATTACTGTTACGGGGACTTTCCAAGGAAAAAACGAGACATAACTCATTCATCTTTCTCATCAAACACTAATTCACTTTTTAACTTGACACTAAAACAGTGCGTATCATATAGTATGGCTGTTTATTTGAAGTGGAATAGGGCTCACTGCTCCCCAAAAATGTGTCCGTTTTCTCCATTCGTGTTTTAATGAAACACACCTGTGGGTTTTGCGTGTCATGGGAATAGTAGTTACAAGCTCATGAGAGTTTACCTGAGGAAAGACACCCATGATTTGCGTCAGGCTGGGTAACGTTTACACCTGGGTCTGACTCAGCCTGGGTGCGCCAGTGTTCTCCTGTTCGCTGACAGCACATCATTCATTCATGTGACGGGACGGGACGGGCCCCTGACTTACCTGGACTTCAACACTTTTCATTATAAGTGCACTTGCTTTTGACAGCTGTGATGAGTTACCTTTACTCTAAAAATTTTGAAAATATTATTTAGCTTGTAGGTCATTGCGTATCTTCTTTTAAAAACATTTAATTAGGATAATGCTATGGTATGACTTCATTTTGACGGTCCCTTTAATACATTTTGTTGAATTTAAGTTACATTGCATCTACATGCCAACTAATTCTCATTAGCTTATAAGTAGGGTTAGTGTAAGTTAGTTGTTGACACGTACTTGCAAAGTTTCTTATAGTTAATAAATGTCTGTTGAAGGAGCAGTATCATATTATAAGTATCAATAATATAAAGTAGGCTATCAGTATCAATATTAAGCAGTCTACTAATACTCCAATGAGAAGTAATCGGCCTTGCAATACAACCTTTAGTAAACAAAATTTGTTTTCAATTAAAATAAAGTGTTATCAGTTTTTAATTTATTTTACTTGAATTTTATTTTGGCCCACTAGAATTAAATAATATACACACAACTCTTATGAATATTATGACAACCTATGATAATGATGGATAAAAGGTCAACCAGGTGGTTAATGCCTGTTAAAGGGTTACATAAAGTTCTTTTAAAATGATCTTAATGCATCCTTATAGATTGGAAAGACATTTAAGACACTAAAAGGGTTACAAATTAATAATCAATTAATAAAAAATGTATAAATATATTTTTTAAAGTATCATACTTTCGCAGTTCATTAAATACATCATGAACTGCATACAGAAGTTGTCTAAAGATGTAAATTTAAATATAATTTGAATATAATTTAAATATAGTTTAATTAGTGCAAATTTGTTTAAATACTTACAGTAGCAGGTCAACTTTAATATTCTGGTTTCATAAAGACCCATTTGAAATGTTTTACAGAAGGTATTCTGGGTGTCTTTTAAGACGTCATTTTATTTTATTTTTGTAAAATAATAATAATAATAATAATTTATTTAGTTAGACCATTATTTGCATAAACACAACCCTAAAAACCTTTAAATTACAAATCTGAATTAAAGATTTAGGTTTAGTGTTTGTAAGTGTTGGTAAAGTGGAGATTTATGATTCATTACAGCAGGAGAATAACTCATTTTGAGAAAATGCATTGGAATTTAAATCTATAATACTGATCAATTCTGACAAAAGGGTGTTTCTTCATAATGAACTGGGGGAAAACACATTATAAAAACCCAAAATCTCCAAATTGACGTGTGTATAAAAAATACATATCAAATACTATTTAAAGCTCACTCGTGTCCCCTACTGGTTCATCAAGGTAGTGCGCACTATGCGTGCACGTTTTCAAATGTAGAAGTATGATATTGGTCACATGATTAGAAAAAGCACCTGACCTTGTTGTGCAACCTGAACGGTGGTGTCGTTTGAAAACTACAACCGAACACGTCAAGCCGTAATTTGAATATTAAAACCTGTTTAAACGATCCATTTGCATAATGGTGAGCCCCCAGGCAAAATCTGTAACTGTAGTGGGCGTGGCAGTTTGTAACATAAGTTCATTCTGACACGATGAATACGAGAACATCGTGTTATACAGAAATATACAGTCGTTTAGCATTACTTTTTAATGAGCGCAGCTTTAACTGAGTGCGTGTTTTAATAATAGTCTATTATGCTTATTTATGTTTATGTATAGGCTATATATTATTAATTCAACTGCTTAGTTTATACACTTAAAACATTTTATTATTAGCCTATTTTATTTATTACTATTATTTTATCTATCATTATTTTTGCGCTTTCATGCAGCTGTAACTGGGTGCATGCTTTTAATAATATTCTATTATGCTTATTCATGTCTATGTCTCTCTCTCTCTGTGTGTGTGTGTGTGTGTGTGTGTGTGTATGATTTCCACTCTTATTAATTCAACTGCTTAGTTTATACACTTAAAATAGTTTATTATCATTTTTTAATGTTTCTGAATATCTATTGTACTATTTCTTACTTTCTTTGCAGCTGTAACTTCGCTTTGTTTATAGATTTGTTTATATTGCATATATTTTAGTTTTTTGTATGTTTATGTATACATGTATACATATGTAGTTAGTAAAGTTTAGATTGCACTAACTGTAACTTTGCTCAGTGTTTATAGATTTTTCTATTTGACTACCTTTATTTTCATGTGTTTATGTATAAATATGTATTTAAAAATTACAATGTTTGCAAAATTTCTTCCTGCAGCTGTAAATCTGTTTATACATTAAATTATCTTGAATGTTTATGTATAAATATGTATTTAGATTACATTGTGTGCTATTTATCTTTATGTTTATACACTTTCCAGTTTTTTTTTATTTTAGTTGAGTCAGTGCTTACTTTTTTTGCCCTATTTTATTGCTCTTTGTCATACATATTTAAATATGCATATCATATAATATTCTTTAAATTTAAATATTTATATTTATTTAATTTATATTTACTAATTTATTTCCTAACAATTAAACATTATATGTACTCGTATATATTACTTCTATGTAGCCTGACAATATTTCATTGCATTCATTGACTTTTGCATGTACTGTTGTGCATTAAAAAAACTTTGATGTAGCCAATGAACACCACTTAAAAACAAAAACGTTTAACACTCGATAACCCAAAAAGACCAGGAGACAGATCGACATTTTAATTAATTCAACTTTATTGATTTACACAGGACATATCCAGACATACACGAATAGCAGAGGGGCTTCCCTAAAGTACAGGATGTTCTGAACAGTTAAAGAGGAAATGATACGACTCGATTGTGAAAGCCAAGCGGGTCACCCTGTGGTTTTTACAATGGAGAAAAACAGAGGGAGGGAATTGCTGAATGAACATCTTTTTAATTTAATAACAAATACCAGTTGCACATGTTAGATAACGACCAGGGAGTTACATGATAGAAAGGAGAAGAAGGAGAAAAAAAGGACAAGTGCAAATGAAGGGGTGGGCAAAAAGATCTGTCATAACAGTGTGTTGCAATAAGGTGTGTTCTTTCTGGATTCTCGAGAAATTCAAGTGGACAAAACCAAGTGCTGAGCGAAGGCACACACACGCACACACGCGCACACACACACACACACACACACACACACACACACACACACACACACACACACACACACACACACACACACACGCCCTTTAACTAGAAAGGCTACGTAAAGACGAACGAGCAGAAACACGTCAATCACGTAAACACACACAGAGAAAAAATATCTTTCATAGTGGCGACGCTAAAATAAGACAACAATACAGAGACAAGACACCTGTAATAAATATATAATAATAAAAATAATTCAAAAATTAGATGGGTTCATATTTTTAATCGGAGAAGAAAATGCCCAAAATGTCAGACAGCCTACAGACTGTTGTCGCCGGGCGAATGTAACAGCCAACACCAGTCTGATAAGCTATCTGACACACTGGGAAAGACTTATATCCACGCCAATAAAGACACATAATGAAGATTTCACTCACTTACCACTGATGAGAGGAGAGGGTGGGGCTGAAAGCGGGGCGTGGCCATCGAAATCTAACAATGTAATGATTTAAATCCCGTTATGGAAGAACCGAAAGCCTTTTTCTTCCCCTTCATTCAACGGACTCCGTGTGAGATAATCGAAGGCAGCTTCTCCTTTCTTTCTCATAGTGGCCGCGTTTTCAATCCTAGCGAGGTGCCTACATAGACAGCGTTTTTCTAAGCATCAGCATCGGATTCGAGCGCTCCGAGAGACTGTCTCGCTGGATTTAAGACACAGCCTCTCTCGCGCGCTCCCCTTAGCTCGCTCCCTCTCTCTCGGCAGGGTTGCCACATCCGCTAATAATACACCGTTCATAAGCGAGACGTTTATAAATAGAGGAAATGAACTTGCGCCTTTCGGTTTCATTTCCAGAAAACAGATGCGTGTTTTAGTGGTTTGTCAAGTTATGTAGAGTGTTCGTGTTCCCTTAGCACATGATATGAAGGAAAATACAGCATATGTAGAAACATAGCTTGTATTAAACAACGAATGAATAATCATAACATGGTAATAATTTAGCAAAATGAGCTAACGAATAATTACATTGTGTAATTGATATAACTAAAATAAGGAAATTGGTTAGGAAAACGTGTTGCGTTTTGGAAATAAAGTAGTAATTGATAGGCCTAGGCTATATTGTGTTATGTTATGTGAAGATATTTAGATTTGTTTGAATCTAAAATGGTATTTTCAACAATATAGCCTAATTCATGAATGAATTCTTGTTCTTTAGTTTTTGCTTTGTTAGTTACATTAGTTTTGTATTAAAATTGGTGAAGTTAAAAGTGCAAAATCTCATATAAACTCAATTTGAACTATTTATTTTTAAGTAGGCCTATATCTTACAATATAATTATCACAATTTTATTATACTACGCAATTTTGTTCATTGATGCAGTCAGTTTAACCAATTTCTTAATTTCTATTATCCAAATTAGTCAGGCTGACCAAACATTTCAGTTCGCATACTTCACTCGCAAGATCTGGCAACCCTGCATCATCCTCTACGCCAGCAGCGCACAGTGCATTGAGTTCAACCGAGGGTTCATTTAAGGTAACGGCAAAAGAAACTCCACACTGTTCCCTTTTTTTATACGCCTGCAGCTTCCAGACTCACATACCAGGGCAACGCTACAAAAAGACACCGAAAAAAAAACATTTCACAAGCAATTAAAAGAAAAAAAGACGCAAGAAGAAGAGATGGACGAGACGTTTGCTTAGCTGCCTGATCTCATGCCACCAGTGCAGTGATTGTCAATCTGTTCCCGGTGGCCCCAACACTGCACATTTTACATCGACACACCCAATGTAGCCTCTAATACTGAACTGATGCGTTGAATCAGGTGTGCTAGATTAGGGGGACATCCAAAATGTGCAGTTTTGGGGACCAACACTGCACTAGTAACTAAAACAAAAAGGCATGTTAACTACATAGTGTGAAACTGTTCAACAAGAGTAGATACTCACCTTTCAAACCGGCAGACAATCCATTATTCAAATCCAGCTCTTCCAGCATCCTCTGGTTTGACCGGATGCTCTTCAGATGTATAGAATACGAGCGATAAGCAGCGACACGCAAAACGTGGCAGTCGCCCACGCACATATGTGCCTGAACACACACGCGCCTCTTAATCTGATTGAATGCGTTATTGCATCTGGTGGAGTGGCCCTGTAGTGAGTCATGTGGTTACACACACACACACACACGCACACACACTCCTTCTCCCTCTCCTCTTTGGATCTCTGGAAACAAAACAATAACTATAGACGAAAGGAACATTATGATTCACGAGGCTTTTAGAACATGAGAAGATCTTTGCTCAGAAAAAAAGAGTAATGCTATACAGGCTCTAGTCAATACGAACAGCACATTTTAGTGACTTCAGAGTCAGTCGAATTACTTCCTGTTACACTTTGATTCAATCCAAAGAGGTCAGAAGCTAAAACGATGCTAAATTAAACTAAATTAAAACAGTCCCTTAAGTGTAACAGACCACACACACAACATAAGCCACGGTGCACCTTAACACCCCTACCAACGGGATCAGATAACCTGTGCAAGACACAGAGCTGAGAACATGAGTATCTCAGCGCAAACCACCAGCTAAGCAAGCACATTAAAAAGTAATAAAAATGTTAACCGATAGCTGCGCTACTCAAGAAATTCTCAAGAGATTCGACTAAATTTCAAGATGCATGAAGCAAACAATCCAGATCGTCGTCTTCAGAAATCTGAAACAAGAAAAAAGAGAGAGAACAGTCAATAATGCACACTCTGAGACTCATCAGAAACATCCCATGTTAGGCAATCGCTCCTCTCCACCTGCATTTCCTCTGTTACTTTAAAAGTGTGACACGCGAGCATGGTGGCATCGCTTCCTCCTGCCGGGTGAACAAACCCGTAGCTTTCCTTAAGTAACTGCAGGAGGTTCAAGTTACCAGAAAAAAAGGAACATTGTTCCAGAAACATCCGTAATCTCTCATTGTGCAACTTCATCCCTCTCTCTCTTTCATTTCCTCCTCCCACACGTACCAACACACGCACGCATGGAGAAGTGCTTTAAAACAGGCAGACCAAGGTGTAATATAGAAAAGGTGTTGCTCTTTGTTTCCGTGCGCACTTGTGAGGGATCAGCGGCAGCAGGAGGAATTGAGAGTACAGCCTCACTCAACCCCCCCCTCATCTCATTCCGTTTCCCTTCCTAACATCCCCCCCCCAACCTCCTCCTTCTATAACTCCCAGGGGCCCCTCCCGTCTCCGGCAGCCTGCGCTGGGTTCAACAGGGTTCGGCTGCCGAGAGGGGGGAGTCAGTGTGACGCGGGGGAGTGTCCGGTTCACTCAAAGAGCTCCGGAGTATGACTCAGCATCCCTCCTCAGCCAGACCCCGAACAGAGCCCCTGACACTCTATGCTCTGCCACATGCAAACAATAACACCAGAACCACACAGTAGAATAAAACCGATAATTAGGGGAGGGAACTAATTAAGATGTAGAACAAAAATGAAACAGGGTTGCGCGTAATAAATTAAAAGGGAGGATAAATATACAAAAACAAAAGCCTGGGAATGAGACAAATTTGAAGCTTGAGTGAAGGAGATTGTGTTTGAGTGATGGGACTTACCATTGGGGTGGCCCTCTTCTGCGCGTGTTGAAATTTTGCCATCTGGGCCTCAAGGTACTCCCTGAAAGGCTTCTGTAAGAGAGGCGCCAAACAGGGGAAGAGCTCTGTGACAGAAAAGGAGAAGAGGAGGAGGAGGGGACGGTACAGGAGAGGAGAAGGAAAGAAAGAAAGGAAAGAAAGAGAGGGAGAGGTCACATAAATTTCACTTACCGACTCGAAAGGTCAGCGAGTTTCCTTTACCCTGCCTCTCCTCTATCTCACTCTTCCCGCTCGCAGAGACAGAGAGAGAGAGGTAGAGTTCTGTTTCAGAGTTATCCCAAAAGACAGAAACTCAAAAAAAAGAAAAAGTATGGCTTGTTCTGGGAACTACATATCCTAAGCACTTAAAAATGATGGAGGGAAAAAAAACATACATAAGAGAGACGCATACAAAAGAAGAAGAAAAAAAGCTTGTCCTGAAGGCATGCTCACACGGGGAGCCATCCACACTCACACTCCCCTGTAATGTCCCTCAGCCAGGCTGAAGGAAGAAATGAATGATTTCTCAGAACTCTCACATTTATCACCGGCGGTTCCTGTAAGAACTGGTTTCAGCCAATTAATGAGGAAGTGAGCCTATGCCGAGTCATTACTGGTCGAGAGAGTGTGTAAGGCCGCCTAGGGGTGGGGCTTTGTGAGAGACAGCCCATATTAGGAAACCCTTTTATGAGATTTAGCCACTACCTACAATACCCCCCCACCACCACCACACACACACACACACACACACACACACACACACACACACACACACACACACACTCTTTTACATACACACACAATCACATGGAAAGGAGAAGAGAAGGAGATTGCCCTGGTATGGCAAAATTGCCCCTCCCAAAACAAAATCTAAATGATTGATTTTAAAATATAACCCTGTTTGAAACGCATATCTTAGTATTTTCATCAATAAAATAAGGCTTTAAATCTGAAATAATGAGCACTTTGTTTATCTTTACATGACCTGATGCTTGCTGACACACTTGGACTTTTGTTTTATCACTTTACACACTCATGCGGCCCGATAACACTCCCTTTGAACTCGACGTTTCACAGACGCAAACAGGACCCCTCTGCCCACTCGAGTTTCTGAAAGTGCAACTTCACGGATAAACAATAGATGAGCTCATACCGGTTATTTTGTTAAATCATTAACCAAACGCACCATCATCATCCACCCATGATGTGGGTTAACTAAACGCAAACACATCGAGCCTAAAGGAAAAGCAAAATGATCCTGAAAATCCACCATCAAAACCAACACCCACACACCCCGTAGGAGAACATACCAAAATCCAACCAACTGTAAACACGCACAGAAGCTAGCATTAGCCCATCTGAAGCATAATCTCTCATCTAAACCTTCATTAGCTTGTGTTTTTTTCAGTCTGTATGAAGTGAAACTGTCGTGTTAGAACAAAGAGTCAGATCAAAAACTTACGTCTTTGTGTTTGAGAAATTGGCGGGCTCCAATCAAGCCCTGTCCGATGAGCCACGGTGAGTCACAGTGAGCCCGTAAGAGTCAGACATCACACTCCTACCTACCGTCAGAAAGCATGCTACTAAAAACACGAGGACTGCTATCTTCATGTACATAAAACAAGGATTTTTCACCTCACTTCTGGAACATTCTGGGTCAGGGATTTCTTTGGAAAAAGCATGCTGGTTGTGTGAGATATATGTTCACTGTCAGCACTGCATGATCTGGTCATATTTACCTTTTCAGATGACTAAATGTGTTGTGATATGACTTGGGAAATGCTTGCTGAGAGCAGATTT